CGCTCGGGCAATACGACAAGGCTAAAGAGTATCTTCAAAAAGCGCTTCTCATCAGAACTGAGATTGGCGACAGAGAAGGAGTAGCAGCTGACTACGGAAACCAAGCTACTGTGTTTCTTTCGCTCGGGCAATACGACAAGGCTAAAGAGTATCTCCAAAAAGCGCTTGTCATCACAACTGAAATCGGCGACAGAGAAGGAGAGGCATCATGCTACGGAAACCTAGGTAATGTGTTTCTTTCGCTCGGGCAATACGACAAGGCTAAAGGGTATCTTCAAAAAGCGCTTCTCATCACAACTGAGATTGGCGACAGAAAAGGAGAGGCATCATGCTACGGAAACCTAGGTACTGTGTTTCTTTCGCTCGGGCAATATAACAAGGCTAGAGAGTATCTTCAAAAAGCGCTTGTCATCAGAACTGAGATTGGCGACAGAGAAGGAGTAGCAGCTGACTGCGGAAACCTAGGTACTGTGTTTCAGTCGCTCGGGCAATACGGCCAGGCTATAAAGTATCTCCAAAAAGCGCTTAATATCAGAACTGAAATCGGTGATAAGCGTGGGGAGGCAGCAGATCTTGCAAATCTTGGAAATATGTCCAGAACTGTTGGAAATTATGAAGCTTCGGAAGTATGCTTGGAGAAAGCTTTATCCATATCCAGAGATATTGGAGATAGAAGAAGAGTGTTCCAAATTCTTCAAGAATACGCCGTTTTGTATTTATTTCAAAATAAAGTCGACGACTCCCTTTCATGTCTTCAACTTTGCATTGAAAAGTATGAGGAGCTCAGATCTTTCTTGGGTGCCAATGATCAGTTCAAAACATCATTTCTGGAGCACTCAGGAATATTTCCCTACAAGCTGCTTTGTACTCTGCTTTGTGGCACCGGAAAAACTCGTGATGCTCTTTATGTTGAGGAGTTGGGTCGAGCCAGAGGTCTATCAGACTTGATGGCAGAGAAGTACTCGGTTGAAACGCACATCTCTGCTAATCCACAATCTTGGTTTGGCATTGAAAACGTTTTTAGAAAGAAACACAACTGTACTTGTCTGTACATTTCTTATTTTCACAATCATCTGCATTTGTGGATCTTGAAAACAGGTGGAGTCCTTCACCATAGAAGAATATCACCTGAAGAGAATCTAGTTCAGGCCGGGTTGCCCAAAGACTTGCCTCTGATTGAATTTTTGGCTAAAAATTTCCGGAGTCTTGGTATTTTGCCCATTGAAGATTGTGAAGATCGATCTTTAAATATGGTTGAATTGCAGCCTCTCTCCCCCGAACAAAAGAGTTCAGCAAGGTTGCGACTCCTGGAGGAGGGCGAGGACGAGAAAGTCATTTCAAGTCTATCCTTGTGTTACAAAATGTTTATTGCCCCCGTTTATCATTTGCTTGAAGAGCCTGAAGTGATTATTGTTCCTGACCGCAATTTGTACAAAGTTCCCTTTGCT